TTCCTGCGTGATTATCTGAATTTTCTCTCACACCTCGACTATCGTGAAAGGGCTGCCAACTGAGATTGCTGAAGAGCTTCTCCACCTGGTTCACATTACACCTAGTGGACACAGCAAGCGAAGAGGCTCCCATACTCAGGCCAGCTGCACTCAAGAGACTGCTCACGCAACTGGAGCTAACATTAGCTCACCTTCAATGTCTCCTAGTTCCAGTGATTACCGAGGAGCTCAAGACGAATACCCACTTCCTCCCGTAGAAGTATATCCGCTCTCTGTTCTGTTCTCTGAACAACCGTTGCTCAATCTTCCCCCTTACCCCCCGGACTCCGAAGCATTGGTACCCGCACGACAAAATGGGCTGGGGATATCGCACGCTCACGACGATGCGGTTCTCCTCGCAAATCATGACTGCCATGAAGCTGTAACCTATCACCCGTTACTGACCGATGCCCTTCATTCCCTCCTTCTCTGCTACCCTCTCATTCAAACATCACCTAAAGAACTTCTCCGGCACGCTCACATGGTTGCACGCTTATCCCGCGTTTGTGACGGGTATCCAATTTTCCTTGCACCTCGATCGCCCGCGCGGGCAGATTGGATTGAAGTCCTTAACCGTGTGGACAATTGGATCGGACTCAAGCAATCGTGGGAAGCGCTTTGTGCCCCAGCCCCTCTTCCAGGCCACGCAGGATTGGAAAAGAGAGAGGTGATCCCGGAGGAAGCGCAGGATCATCGAAAAGACAATGCGATCATGGAGGCATTGGCTGATGACCGTGTTCAAGACGAACAAAGCTTCTTTGCGGCGGTGCGAGGGCGCGAGAAGAGCACTGAGGGCTGCCGCAAGGAAGACAACGGCAGGAACGCAAAAACGGGAGCAGCACCTAAACGCTGGGCACAGGAAGATGGTAAAGAGTACCCTACTAGCACAGAACGGGCGGAGAGTATCTCACGCTGGATAAGGGAGGCGCCAATCTCCACAAGCGATGGTAAGAGGAAGGGCAAGAGACGCAAGGGTCCTGTTGCAACGGATCATAAAGCCACTGAGAGTCCCTCTCTCGAGGATAGCATGCATGAAACGAGCGTTGGAGAATACGATGGTATTGATTATTAGGACGCCGCGTAGACGTATAGAATTGGATAACGGCGCTTTGGCAACTACTGTCTCTGCTACATGTAACTATAGTTCAAGAATTCACGAATCCTCCTTGTCTCTGGTTGGACTTTATTCTCGACAATCTAATCCCACTAAGTTCATGCAGGCATATTACGCATAGAAATGATATCCTTGCTTGCATTCTTTCGCTCTGGCTGCCTTATCCCCTTCTTCGGCTTGCATGAATGTGCTAGGCCATCAATCTAGCAATATTTGAACGGGGTTCGGGATTTCCCTTGATAAAACTTTGATCCCAGACCCCGTTAGCTAGCTGCATTTCAATCCTTTCTCCTCCATCTTCATCGGGTGTAGGGCAGTGTATTTTCCAATGTTTCTCAGGTTTTAATTCCTTAACTAACTCTAATTCCAAATTTTTAATCTTGACCCATCTCTTCTAAATCTGTGTTGATGATAACTAGTGGAGTACATTAATAATTCTGAGGAGCCTGATGTCAGAGGGGACCAACCAATCCCCCCCTCCTGATGTAACTAACTCCGCCATTGAGTCCAGGGACAAATTTGAGATCGATGAGTGAACCACAATAAAGCAAGAATCACCTGCTCCAATCTCTTTTATCCAGATTTCAACTCTATCTCGCATCCATTGAACCTCAGAGCTGACAGCTGCAGGTAATGGTAATTATTCCAAGGTGTGCTCAACTCAGGCCTTTGCATTCGAGAAGACCGAAACTGACCCCTTCATCTTTGATGCAGGTCTGGATTTGAAAGCCGCCGTTCTTCATACTCGATATAGAATAGCCCGGTCAATCTTTGGATCTCTAGGCCCAACCATTGTTAGGGTTGGGTGGGATCGTGTCATCAAAGGGCCCCTGCGACCCCCCTGAACTTGAAGCGATCCTCTACATTGCAGAGCACACTACTATTCCAGTTCCTCGAGTTCGATGTACCTACAATGGACCAGGCGGCATCTATATTATGATGGATTACATTAAAGGCACAAACCTTGAAACTCTGTGGATGCTCGGCCTGTTGAAGCCAGAAGAACAGGACGCCATTGTCGTTAACTCAGCTTCGAGCGCTTCATCCTCCTAAAGAAGGGGTGGTTGCATCTGCTCAAGGTGGAGTTATTCTTGATTATCGCATCAGCAGTTATCTTGTCGGGCCATTTCAGTCCCATGCCAGCTTTCATTAAAACACAGCTAAGGTTCTTAGGGAAGAGGTTGCAATCTGCCACCAAAACAACTACCAGACATTTTTTTCACATGCGGATTTAGCCCCGCGGAATATCATTATACACAAGGGCGAGATTGTGGGAGGTGTGGACTGGGCATTAGCAGGCTGGTACCCTGAGTATTGGGATCTAGCAAAGCCATACTACACTTCCTCAAGGTGCCGGAGTGGTATGAATAAATCAAACTTAAACTCCCTTCATATGCAGATGAGCTCAAGGCAGAAAAGATTCTTTGGAGGCTATATGATGAACCAGGGAATGTTATGCGCAACTAGCTTGCTTGTCTTCACTTTAGAATCGCAAATATTGTGTGGATCAGGCTTGGCCAGGCACTGATTGGCATGATTCAATAGCCAATCCTTGAACTTCTCAATATCGAATTCTGTATCATGGATTCATTTTGCAGAGCCAATACAACTCTCCAAACCCAATGGCGACACCTCTCTCCCAATTTCCTTATCTAGCAGAGCAATACTGCTAAAGAGATTTTCTATTGTCATCGTCTGTGTTTGTGGAGGAAGTTTTCCAATTATGACCCGACCAATTAACCACCCGCTACCTAATGGATCCACATTATTCTTCTTCCGAAGTACCAATCTCTCTCTAGGTTCACGTCTTGTCCAGTTTCACTATCCAAATGAAGGCCGTCCGAAACGTCATACGCTGTGTTGTCGATATCGGAATCTTGTTTGCCAACAACTAGAGTAGAAACTGAGCACAGTCTTTTAAGCTGTCAGGACGGTATGTGAAGTATTTATATGGGTAGATGGCTCTCTTTCTTTTGAAGTCAAGATCTCCATGCCAGTCCAGGTTGGCTAGTCACAACGTGATCCCGAAGCCGCCTTCCAACATGGGAGCCATCTAGTGTTCTGCGTGGCTAACTTTGATCGGCATGGTTTCGCTGGGATCCTACAATTATGAGGCTGCGGCGCCTAATCAAGGGGACTAGGGATTCCTTCTCCGGAGCGCAACCGATGTCGTGAGGTGGGGTTATGGCCCAAGAGGCGAGGTCGAAAAAATGATCAGTTGGAGGCAGCCAATGTTACCGTAAGACAGTGGGTGTCTCTTATTCCTATTGACATGGCTATAGAATATATCAAAACAGCGAAGGAATAGGTTTACTATTTAAATTAATGCCATTGAAATCTCATGCAGATGCTGATGACCTTTCTGCTGTAAATATTTTTGAATAGCATTCCTTTAAACCACGCGTTATTAACTTCAACCGATAGAATTAAAGCTAAGTGACATACCCGAAATCTATCATCCAACTTGTACTCCATCCTAGCTACCGGCCACTCTAAGATAAATTTTTGGCGGTTGTATTACAGCTCATCATCCCTCTCAAGGCATTGTGG